GGCTAGTTCTCCCCCTTTTTCTTTTCGGCGGCGGCCGTTCCAGCAGCCACCGCCTTGCCGCGTGCCTTACCCTTGCCCTTGGCAAGCGCAGAAGGAGCGGCACCACTGTTACCAACCATCAAGAAGGAGAAAAGATTTCAGAAGAGGGAGAAGATTGAGAGATCGAAGTACCTGGTACTCCTCTGACAAACGAAAAGATAGAAACAAGAGGAGGAAAACTTGGTTGCCGGAGAAGGCGACGGAGGAAAACGGAGATGGCAGAAGCAGGAAGGCAAAGAAAATCGGCATGCTCAAGAAGCTAGAGAGGAAAGAGGATGCAAAGAGTAAAGTGGAAGGAGTTCTCCAAAATTCAAACGGCCACAACACGTGTCAGCCAAGGAAAAAAACTGGCGACACATTTAATGAGCCCCATTATGCCGAGCACGACCATCATTGCATAACCGTCACTTCCCATTAACACGCCGCCTGCACGTTTTCAAGAACGAGGCAACGGTTACGACACATGGCATCTTGACAGAAAGGCGTACGCGAAAGGCCATGGCCCCTTGACGAGCTCGGTCTTAACTCCTCGACCCACGGTCTTCAGAGCTTGGGGGGCTAGTGTACTATCCGTACCGCTATGCTGAGCTCGAGCTCGGTATCACAGTGCAGGATGACCTCACGCGTTGGGAGACCTCGGCCAAGACGAGGTCCGCTATCTAATTAGGTCATAACTGATCTCAGGCCCAAGGCCCAACGAAACCTTAATCTACACAAAGGTACATGCATTACTTATACGAGACTCATACTCCCACAAATACTAACTTTAGCATTGGAGTCTCTTTTGCATGTACCACCCCCATCTTGGAGCAACCAACATACCCGTGAAGGAGGCTCGCTGATCTTACCCAGCAGATCGTCTCCTACAACCGATCTCCGGTAAGAACAAATTTAGAACAAGTGAAAATCAAATAATTAAAATTCCAAGTTTATCCTAATTTATTTTGAAACAACATTGGCCCAAAGATTGAAGGATAGCTCCAAATAAAATAATGTTTAACTAATTGAAATGAAAATGAATGTACAATTTTATCAAGGTTGAACACGATTTTACAAAAAAACCACCAATCTTGTAAGCTCACACAAATTTGGGTAGTGCTGGACGTTTGTGTTTTTGGGTGTGCTTGGCAGAATTGATTTGAAATTAATGTGATTTTATAGAATTGATTTTAAGTAAAATTTTTGTTAGGATATATATTAAAAACATAATAACTTTTCACACTTAACGTTATTTGGAAACTTGCAATCAAATTGTCTTTAGGTATGTATTTACCAAAATGGGTTTCAATTGTCGTAGATGTCTTTTGAATTGTAATATTGATATATACATCAGTAATTTAAAAATATATGGCTAGATTTGTTACAAGGTTTTTTTTGGACAATAAAATTAATAATTAAAATGAGAAATTTGAAGGAAAAAATGAGAAATTTGAAAATACATCGACCCCCAATTAGAAAAATCGATTATCTCATGATGTAAAAGCAACCTAGGGTAGCTTCAGCCAAAATTTTATCATAGATAATCATGTTGAGTAGGAAATCCAAACACCCCAGTCAACAAATATTTTCACGTTTGACAAAAATAAAGTTTCTCTTTCCTGCAAATTGAAAGTTAACCGTATTTACGTGTAACCGGTATCATTAAAAAAAAAGAGATAATTAATTAGAAATTTACAAGAAATATAAAATAAATAAATAAATAATTGGGAAGAGTGATTTGAAAATTTTCAAAAAAATAAACACAAAAAATCACATCTAATAACATACAAAAAATATTATTATTAATATACTAAGTAGATATAAATATATTTAAATATATTCACATAATTTTAATATTAATTTTAAATAAAATTAAATAATATATTTTGTATGTTATTATAATTTATATTTATAATTTTTTTAATAATATACTAACATATATTATATTTACTTTTTTTGGTTTCCGATAGAAGTGACTAATCTCCTCGCTACGTGGGAGACATCTCAAAGGGTGGGATAGCTGACCCCAAGATTTAGTACGGCTGCATACACAAGGCAGGATTCGAACCCCTGAACTTACTTAAGCGTAGATCAACCCCTACTACTGAATTACACGCTTGGAATTACATATATTATATTTATAATATAAGTAAAAAATAATTTTTAATGACAAATATTATGTCACTATAAAATAATTTTGTGGTGTGGATAAAAAAAAATAAAGTATCCCCTTACAACCCTGTTTTCTCTTTATCTCCCCGTATTAAATCAAAGATTATATCCCATACACTTTTCTCTCATCTTTGTCCATCTCTCATCTCCTAAACTGTAAAAAATGTTATTAAAAATTATCCAGTATTTATATACCACTTGGGAAAATTCTAATGCTAACGGTTCTCACATTATATATGAAAATGAGAATGGAATATAGAATTCATTAACTTTCAACACTATTCACTAAAGTGAGTGGAGTTCTTGCCACTAGAACAATAAATACAGTTACCATTTTCAAATCATATATCAATGTTTCCACCTCTAATATTTACAATGTTCCCATTTGTCCAGAAATTAAGAAACTATAGTAATGAATAGCAGTGACTATTGATGTTAGGATGGTCAAAACCTTAATTGAAGAACTCTCACCATAAATCACTTGGCCATTTTACCCTTAAGTTCAGCAGCAGCAGCTTTAGCTGCAGATTTGGCCAGTGTGGTAGGTTTTATAGCACTCTTAGGATTTAAAGCTTGTCGAATTTTAAATGCAGCCCATGCAGCCCCCACAGCATGACCAGCAGCATCCATTCCTTCACTTGTTGCCTTAGCAGCTTCTTCTCCATATCTATGGAATACATACACATTGCACAATAGTTAGAAAAGAACATTGGCATTATCCTTATGTTGTATATGCTTAAATTCTCAAAGCAGAGATCACAGGAAATGGAAAACATTAAATTAAGGAATATGGATTTCACTATCTGTATGTAACATTCTGTTTTTGATAAATAAAAATATAAAATTGTTTAATTATGTTTTATTTTATTTTATTTAATTCAATCAATTTAATTAATTAATCTTGTAAAATATATTAAGGTTATTTATATGAAAAATAAAATGAAACTGGCTGAGTTGGGTTGTAAGGGCACGCTGATGGATTAAGTTTTGGTTTGACACTAAAGCCCAAACCATTAGTAAGCCATCAGAGTAGAAGTGAAGGGTTGGGAGTAACATGCTTCAGTTTTCCTGTTTTCACTTTTCTGACAATCGAGGACTGCATAGGAGAATGCTTTGCATGGAGTGCAAGAGGAATAGTGTCCGCATCCTTGAACCACACCTGGAAAGCCTGTGAATCATCATATGAGATAAGATGAGGAGTAGGATTATCTCACATATATTCTCTCTAGGAATTTTGTTGTATGGTTGGAAAGGGAGTTTCGGTAATATGTGTTGCGTGTTTTTGTTTTTTATTAATTTAATTTATGATTTTATTGCTAAATGAATTGATTTTTCTGCCATTACTATGATTTTTAGGGGGCATGTATGTTATTTTGGTACTTTTGCAATTGATGCCCTATGAATGAGTTTGTGTGTCATTCTTGTGATGTTTCGTATTATGGAAGCAGAGAATGAGTAATATATGAGTTGAGTAGCAATTGAGAGAATGGGGAGAGGAATTTGTGCATATTAGATTGAGTATCGAACAGTTTTGGGACTATGTAATGATAGCACAATCGTGCTTTTTATGAGTTATTTTATGGTATTTGTCTGATAAGATATTTTATGAGAGTTATTATTATAAGGTTATTACACAAGCATATTCTACAATGATGAGATATTGTCTGCTTTGAGCCTAAGCCTTCACGATTTTGCTTTTGGTTATTGCCCAAAAGGCCTCTCTATCATTGAAGTATGTTTGTGCTATATAAGTTAGTATGTTTGTGCTATATAAGTTGTTATTTCTTGTCTTATTTTATCGATGTAGGATTTGTTTGTATCCCAACAATCTTCTCCTCAAATAAGGGACCTAACCTGAGGGGATATTTTATGAGAGTTATTTTTATAAAGTTAAAACACAAGCATATTTCACAATGATGAGATATTATTTGCTTTGAGCCTAAGCCTTCACGGTTTTGCTTTTGGTTATTACCCAAAAGGCTTCTTTGTTATTGAAGTATGTTTGTGCTATATAATTAAGTTGTTATTTTTTGTCTTATTTTATCGATGTGGGACTTGTTTGTATCCCAACACTTTTTTAATACGATTATGTTGGGTTAACCATGGTTGTGCTCAGGACGTGCTAGATAAGTCATGGTTGCATGGTAAACATGCCTATGGTGAGTGATCATGGTCATGTTGTTTGAGTTAGACTTGAGCACGACCTTACTCTTGAGAGCATGGTCGTGTTGAAAGTTGACATGGCCATGTTGTGATCATGCTGAGTGGAGCACGCTTAAGCTCTAGTTGCACATAATGTTGCACATTTGTGTTGATGTCATTCTTAGTGTGTCAATAGAGTATTACTTTTCTTTTATGAGTATTTAATGTTAGGAATGAAGTGACATTTTAGTATGGATTAATAAACAAGGTATAGATGATTTTAAGAGAGCTTAATGAGTAAAATACAAGTGATAATAGAGAGTTAAAGTTATACATGATAAAAAATGACATGCCTTGAGTTTTCGTGCTTTGAGCTATTTTTGCCCATGAGTTAATATGTGTTATGGGTTAAGTCTATGCAGTTGCTTAGCATAGTAAATTTTAAATTTATGCTTGGTCATTTGTGAAGTCTAGACATCTATTTAGCAAGGATAAAGTATAAGCATTTCCTAATAGTGTGTTACGTTCTTATGTTTTATTTAACAATCCATGCACATCATGTATATTTTGTTTGGAGGTATTGGCATGGCTTACAAATTCAATCAGGAAAGTTTATATATGGTCTTCTATCTTGGTTTAGTTTTTTTATTTTTTATTTTTATTTTTTATTTTTATTTTATAGAACCACCATAATAATCCTAAGAGAATACTAAATAAAACTTGAACAAGAAAAGTAAAAAAAAAAATGAACAAGGGATGGGGTAAACACATTATTTTTTACTTATTACTCCGTATTATATAAGATAATGGCATGAGAAAAAGAGAGAGAACATACTCAATGATAAAAAAAAAAATAATGAGAAAAAAGTATTTTATTTAATATTTTTCAAAAATGAAATGAAATGAATCTCATCATTTTAGATATGTTTTAATTTCATGTGTGTGATAGATATGGAAAGAAATGAAAATTTCCATTTCTATACTACATGAAAAGGTTTTGAATGCCATAAATGACCACAAATCATAGTATCATCAAATTCAATACCTAATTTCATACTTTATTCTACAAGTATTATACCATATTGCATCTATTGACTTTACCTGTGATTGACAATGTCGGTTGTAACCGTGGATGATGTTGACATAACACTTTTTCCTGCTACTTCAACAGCATCACACACTTTGCCTATTTACAAAAAAAAAAATTTAAAAATAAGATAGTTAAATAATAATATAAAATAACTAGTACAAAAACTCACTTGGTAAACTCTATAGTATCCACTATTAGGATAATTGTTGCTTTTAGTTTTAAAACCAAAACATGTGAAAATTTGTTAAGCAAATGAATAATAACATTTAAAGACCAATTTTTAGAATAGAAAGGAAAAATGACTCTTAGTGGTTAAGAATAACAACAAATAACAATCACATATGAAGGCGTATAATCTTAGTGACTTTATTTAACAATTCATTTTCGTAGACAAATTTCAATGTTCCCAAACTCAAAAAATAGTTGATGAAGTTTATATGTCCCTAATGAAAGTTCATAGACCCTATTTTTATAAAATGAACTTTGTCCAAACAATAAAAGAAATATAAACACGTTAATTGGTTGGGTTTCCATAATCCTTATTAGTCAATTTATTTTTAAACTCAAAAATCTATCAATATAATAGTCAACACTTGGGAAAGTAATAATTTATAGTATTTGACAAAATCATGAATTGCAATGTGAATTTCTATGCACCAACTTTGCATTAAATTTGGCCAAGATAACAATTTCAAGTTAATGAAAGAATGTGTCACAATTAGTTTTGAGTGACAGGTTTCGTTTAGCACCTTGTACAACTACCACTGTGTATCTTGTAAATAAAATTTTATTTCATTATCTTATTTTTTGTGAACCATTTCAATCTCTTCAAACAAAATTTTATATTTTGTTTAGTGTGTCATAAATTGCTTGTGTTTTTAAAATCATAAGAAATATAATTGAAGTTGTCTAATATAACATATTCAAATAGTTATTAGCAACTAGAAATGTATTTATCATGATATTTTCTTTTTCAACAAGCCTCTAGGCTAGTGATTATGTCCATTTAGAGAAGCTTCAATGCTACACACATGTCAAATTTTCCTTAGTTATTAATTGATAAAAACATCTTTTTCTTTTTCTTTTTCTTATTTTCTTTGCTTTGTAAAAAAAAAAAACAGATGATTTTCTATTTTTTCCTTAATTTGCTAGGGGTTATTTGGCTAGTATGCTTAGAATTCGAACAATGTTGTAGTGATGGATGTAAATCATAAGACCTCAAAAAGCCAAGGATTAATACGATTAACATACAGAATCCATCCAGTGATGCCAACACAACTTCACCAGGTAGCATGCTGATAAATTTCTTTCCTGCTTTTGAATTTACCACTGAACTAGTAAAAAATCCAGAGACCTTCACAACCCCAGTGAGGACCCCATTTGCCACACTCTCTGTCATTCTGGTCACTCTTTTAACCCTATATAAACATCAAGACAAAAGACTATTAGTTACTTAAATATTCATGTTAAACAAAGTAGCAAAATAAATAAATAATTAAATAAAGTACAAATAATCATAGCTACCTAAAAGTTGCAAACTATAACAAGATGCTGAAAGATCCTAAAATCACTAATCATTTATGGTAAAATGAAAGGTGAAATACAAAAGGAGAAAAAATTTAATTTTAATATAAAAAATTATCTAATTTTATCTTTTTCGTTATAGCCCTCAAGACTTTAGTGTTAGTCCATTCATATTATTAATCTGTGTTATAAAAATTGGACCAAACTAACTGATTCAATCCATAAAATTGAGATCTAGTTAGTTTATCGATCCAGAAGAACCAAAAAATTAAGGTGTAAAAGAATCAATAAAAAATCAGTCTAGAAAATCGGATTGAACCGATCCTTTTCAATTTTTTTTATTTTCTATAATTATTTAAAATTATTTTATGATAAATAAATAAATTTAATAAACTTATAAATTAGAATAAATTATTTTATTTAATTTTTAATACTTTTCTTACAAATATATAATTTAATCATTTATATTAATTTATATTTTTATATCATGATAGTTTATATTTTATATTATATTAATTTGAGATTTTTCTACTTTAAATATAAAATTGTTCATATATATTGTTATATTGTATTAAAACTCAAATTTAAATATCATATTTACACTTTTAAATGCACTTTAAAAAATATAAATATAATATAATATTTTATCTTAATTTTAGTATTATAAATTTATGATATTATGTTTACATAATATTATGTATTATTTAAATATTATTATTATTTTATTAATATCGATTCAACTATGGATAAATTATTGAATTTTGAGTTAGTAACTTGATCAGTTTGATGACTAGTTCAATTTTAAAAACATTGATATTAACAAATAAATACAAGAAAAAAATTAATGGAATGCATTTGAGCTAATTGATTTAGTTGATTTCACTTTTGATTTTAATATGAGCTTTATTTGTTTCAAGAAATGTTAATATCTAATTTTTCTAACATTTGGTATCAGAAACTTATTCTCTCTGTCTTGCTTATGATGTGCGGTTTTTTTTTTATAAATCAATATTATATATATATATATCAAGATTTTAATTAATTAAAATTGAAAAACAATTATTTATTTTTTCTAGTATTTCTACGATTTTTTGTTTTTGATGTATGGCTGAAAACTATTGGTTTCTATCTAGTTGCAACCGAGTAATTAAGATCAACTTATGATTAAATATAATTAAAACACATATTGTTTGTGTCGTTCCATGAGAAAAGTAATGGACATGTATATATGATGTTGTAAATAAAACAATGTTCTAATGTTATCACATAATATTCATGTGTTGTAGTGGCTGGTTGCATTTTATGTGCGTATTTCATATATTTATTAACTCAATATATGATAATCAATGGCATGTTCAATTTATAGTAGTTATTGGACTTGAGATGAGTAAAATGATATATATATATATATATATATATATATATATATATATATATACTTGAGAAACTACTAAAAATTATATATATATATATATATATATATATATATATTATTCAATAATAATTGAATATTTATTTTATGTGCAATGAAATCAAGTGCATCATTTTATGATAAGTTATTCTTTTATTACAGTTATGTTTAGATATTGATAATTTGATTGATTCTCATGAAATAAAATTTTATTGTTTAGTAGTCTTTATAATTTTATTAATTATGGATTAATCACAACATTTATAATTAATAAAATTATATATTAAATTATTTAAGATAATTAGACACAATATTGTGATTAGTTATACTTAAATATAATGAATTTTATCCATAAGAATTTTTGTTATTTGTATAATCAATTAAGAGAAAAAGGTAATAATTTTATAATTTACGCACAACGATTATATGATTTTAACCATTTATATATATATATATATATATATATATATATGAGGAATCCGTTTATTCTAGAGTAAATCTACCTAAACTTATTCATGTCAATAACTCACGTTTTACATCAAATTTTAGTAATCTAATTATTGAATTTAAAGTTCTTAATGCATAGATCAAATATGTAATTTTTTAAAAAAATTTGAAAACCATTTGATACTTCATTTCATTAATTCAAATCAATGTATAAAATAATTTTATGATTATCTGACAATTTGCATACATACACACACACACACACACATATATATATATATTATATATATATATATATATATATATATATATATATGTGTGTGTGTGTGTGCGCGCGCGTGCATTGGGGAAAAAATATAACTTATACTAGTATGTCTTAAAATTTGACATAAATTTTGATATTTCATATAGTATGTCAAAATGTTAATTTTTCAGATATTCAATATGAAGTTCTTGAACTTAAATGGGAAAATTATAAGATATGGAAAGAGAGAATTCTTCTTCGATTGGGGTGGATGGACATAGATTATCTTATTAGGAAAAAAAAGAACCGTTATCAATCACTAGAGAGTGATCAAGCTAATATTATGCTATATGGGCGGTGAGGGCGATCCAATTAACTTAGTGTAATTTTTATTAAGACTAAAATCTTAGGTGGAATATGTGGTTATGTCAATCAACATGAATATGTTCAAGACTTACTTAAAGCCATTGATGATGAATTTGTCACTTCTGATAAGGCATTAGCAAAACACTCTAATCATGAAGTTTTCTTCCCATAGGTTCATCAAAATGAAATGTGTGTGTGAGCATATAATGCAAATATGTGATATTTCAACTCAACTTAAGAAACTCAAGGTTGATATATTTGTTTTTTTTTCCTCTTGCACTACATTTTGAACACCCTTCTACAAGAATATGAACCTTTCAAGATTTCCTACAAAAAACACATAAGGACTAATGATCAATTAATGAGTTAATGGCCATGTGTGTTCAGAAGAAAGAAAGGTTGGTAATGGAGTTGGGTGAGAATTCCTTTACAACTACATGAGAAGAGAACAAAGTTGTTAGGGTTGAAAAATCTCAAACCAACCAAAAAGGCAATAGTAGAATATCACCTCAAGCTGATATTAAGAAAGAAGCAAGGTGTTTCTTCTATAAAAAGAAGAGACAAATGAAGAAACATAGTCTTAAATTTCATATATGGCTTAAAAAGAAAGGTAATTCAATCTCATTTGTTTGTCATGAATCTAATATGACTCATGTTAATATTAACACTTGGTGGATTGGTTCTAGATCTACAATCCATGTTATAAACCCTTCACGGGTCATGCAAAACTAAGTAAACTAGTGGGAAATGGGCAAAACATCTTATCAAGAAACAAGATGAGCTCAACCGTGGAGACTATTGAATTTTAACTTTGAATAATAGTCTTATTTTAAAATTAGAAAGAAATTTCTATGTACCAAGTTTTTCTCAAAACTTGGTTTCTGTTTCTAGACTCATACCATTTTGATATTCCTTTTGTTCCAAGGACACATCTTTTAGCTTATATCATAATAAAGAATGTGAGATTGAGGTGAAGAATATTATGGTAGATATACTAAAAATGAACAAGAACCTAGTCCTTTTGATAAATTTCTTCAAGAATATGGGATTATTATCCAATACACTATGCTTGGTTCCATAGACCATAATGGTATTCCAAAAAGAAGGAACTGAACATTACTAGACATGGTGAGGAGTATGATTAGCAACACTAATCTTCTTAGATTTTTGAGACATATGCATGCTTGGGGATGTCTATCTGAGGTGAGGATATATAATTCACTAGAGAAAAAAACTAGACCTAGGACCATTAGTGGGTATTTTGTTGGTTATGTTGAAAGGTCCAAAGGTTATAAGTTTTATTTTCCATCTCATACTACTAGGATTGTGGAATCAAGAAATGCTAAATTTCTTGAAAATGACTTGATTAGTAGTGAGAGTGATCAAACTAGGAACTTATTTTTTGAACATGATCATATAGTATCTCAATCTTCCACATCGAGTGATAATTTGATTGTCATTCATAACACTCTTGAAATTCAAATGGATGTTAAACAACCAATCATAGGCATTCTGCAAATTGTTGATGATAATCTAGTAAATCAACTTGATCATCAAATGCAAGAAAATGATGAACAACCAGTTGAACAACATGATCCAGATAAAATTGTTGATTCAACATTGAAAAGATCTACAAGGATAAGGAATCAATCATTCCTAATGATTACATTGTGTATCTACAGGAATCTAACTATAACATTGAAGCTTAAAATGATCTTAAAAATTTCACACAAGCCATGAGTTGTAGAGAGGCAAATTTATGGCATGAGGCCATGAAGGAAGAGATGGATTCCATGCAAAGCAACAAAGTTTGGGATCTTGTGGAGTTTCCTAATGGAGTAAGGGACATTGGCTATAAATGGGTCTTTAAGAAAAAGAACGATTCATTAGACAACATTGAAAGATACAAAGCAAGACTCGTTGCTAAAGGGTTCACTAAAAAAAGGAATCGCTTATACGAAGACCTTTTCTTCTATTTCTAAGAAAGATTATCTCTGTGTTATGTTGGCATTGCTTGTTTATTTTAACCTTGAGTTGCAACAAATGGATGTGAAAATAACCTTTCTCATGGTGATTTAGAAGAAAAAGTTTATATTAAACAACCTGGAGGTTTTTCTTCTAATAAAAGTGAGCATTTGATTTGTAAGCTTAAGAAATCCATATATGGTTTAAAACAAACCTCTCCTCAATGTATCTTAAATTTCATGCAATAATTTCTTCATTTGGATTTGTTGAAAATCCCATAGATCAACATATATACCAAAAGGTTAGTAGAAGTAAAATATGTTTTCTTATTTTATATGTGGATGATATTTTTTTTACAACCAATGATAAGAGTTTGCTTCATGAGGTGAAACAATTTCTCTCTAAAATTTTTGACATGAAGGATATGAGTAATGCATCTTATGTTATTGGCATCAAGATCAATAGAGATAGATCAAAAGGTATTTTAGGTCTGTCACAATAAACCTATATTAATAGTTTTAGAGAGATTTTAAATGAAAAATTGTTCACCAAGTGTTGCTCCCATTATGAAAGGTCACAGGTTCAATTTGAACCAAAACCCAAAGAAGGATTTTGACTGAGAACAAATGAAAAACATTCCTTATGCTTCTACTATTGGAAGCCTCATGTATGCTTAGGTATGCACAAGGGCTAACATTGCATTTGCTATTGGAATGTTAGGAAGATATCAAGGTATCCATGTATTGACCATTGGAGAGTTGTAAAGAAGGTGATGAGGTACCTTAAGGAACTAAAGACTACATGCTTATGTACAAGAAGATAGACAATGTAGATGTGATTGGCTATTTAAATTTCAAATGAATTGATTTTCACAAACCCACATCAAGGTAAATTTTCATGATGGTCAATGGAACTATTTCTTGGAGAAGTGTTAAACAAACCTTGGTTACTACTTCTACAATGGAAGTTGGGTTTATCTCTTGTTTTGAGGCTACTTCATATGGTGTATGGCTTAATAGTTTCATTTTTTAGCTTAGAATTGTTGATTCAAATTTCTAGGCCCTTGAGAATTTTCTACGATGATTTGGTTGTTGTCCTCATGGCTAAGAACAAGAACAACAAAAGTGCAAGTTGAATCAAACATATCAACATTAAGTACTTAGCTATTAGAAAGTAAAATAAAAGAAAGTGGTCATTGAGCATATTAACACCAAGTTAATGATCGTCAATCCTTTAACTAAGGGTATGCCACCAATAAAATTCAAAGATCATGTAAAGAAAATGGGACTTGATTCTATATTATGATTGTATACATATAGATGAATAATGATACTTGTATATTTTGATGTTTTCTCTTATTCATGTGCACATTAATTTACTTGAGAAAATGTATTTCATTGGACCAAGAATAAATATAGGATTTATTCATTAAGTTTTGTTATCACATTAAGTATAAAAGTTGAGAAATTAGTTGTGTTATACATGGATGATAATGCTTACTATAAGAATAACTGTTGGTATGATTCATGTAATCATTTCCTAAGGGAATTCTTAGTTGACTTTTTAAAAGTTTGAACCAAGTGGGAGAATGTAACAATTTTTAAAATATAATGGTCATGTTTAATTTTATTGATTGGTTTAAACATTTTGGATTTATAAAGTCAGACTATGAATGACCATCAATGTGGTGGTAATGGTTATTCAATGCATTCTTGATGGTAGAATGCCTACAAACAATGAGCTGTTGGTTCTTAAGCTTCACGCTCAAATTTTTTTTTACACACCATCTATAGTGAGAGTGCGAGGTTGGAAGAACCAAGAACTACATCTCTTTAAATTGCTCTTCAAATTGCAATGAATGAAGGTAATGTTAATTCAGTTAATTCTGCTTTTGGTTTTAATATGCTTTTTATTTGGTTCAAAAATGTTGTTAATATCTAGTTTTTCTAACATTAAAAACTCATAATAATCATGATGTTTCAACTTCAACAACACTTACTTTAGATAGAATTAGTAGAAAATATACTTAAGCAAGATACACAAAAGAAAAACCTTAACTCATAATTACGCTCATTTTGAATTATATTTTCCATATTTTCTTATACGAGTATAAAATTTAAAGAAAACCAAAAATCAAACTATTCATTTTAGTGTTTGGAGAAATTTGTCTGGGAAGGAGCTAAAAAAATAAAGACATATTCCCTCTAGACCTATGTATAAGAAAAAACAACTAATTTCACATAAATTAAGAAGGTTCATTAAATTCATTTCATTTTCACTGTTTCATATAAAATATACATTACATTTTCTAAAATATTCTAAATCAATTTTGTGTTAGATATTGCTTTCTTTTATTATTATAAAGTATTTTTGGATTATGAACATTAAATAATGTTAACTTGATTAAAATTTCTTTATATTTTAGTTAAAAAATTTAAGTATTTTTTGCTTATATGTAAGTCTACAAGAAGTGTAAGCTTTTAAATTATGAGAAAAGTTTAATTTATTTATCCTTTTTATTATTATTTTTCTCTTATAATGAATATTTGGTGAAAAATTTATTTCAATTTGGCCTAAGGTAAGTAATAAAGAGTTTGTATTTTTTTATAGAAAATATCTCAATAACCACTTTTAGCTAGTATCCATAGAGATTCAAAGAAAAAGATTAATTAAAAGTATATTTACCTCTGGATTCGCCTCATGGTTTCAGGACTAATCTCTCTTTGTGAGCTTGAAGCCAACCTTTGCTTCATGATCTCATTCCCCCACCTTAACCGCTCCACTGTCACATCCCCACACCACAATATCCCCTTAACCAATTGCCCAGAACCCGTTGCAATAAGCTTTGCAGCAGTTCCACTATAATCCTCTACATTAGGTGCCAACGTAGTCCAATATGCTGTACACTTCTCCTCAATCATCTCCCTCTTCTCTTCTGACCATAAATCTGCTGGTGATGTCTCTTTCGCCACTGACTCATCCAAAGCCTCCCCTTCCCTCTTCGCTTTTTCTGAAAGCTCTTGCACCGAGAAAGCACTACATTCTTGCAACACCTTGTCCAACTCCTTCACCAAATCCTCTTGACCCTTTGATGCTATTGTTAAGCCATAACTCAACACACCCAAACCAGAATCATCCTTGTTCTTCTTATTCTTTTTCTTCTTCTTTCGATTCTCCTTGCGACCATGTTTTTCTCCTTTTCCTTTTTCCTCTTCGTCTGAGGAGGAATCTGAATCAGATTCCTCTTTAGGGACACGAAGGGAGAAAAAGTAGTGTGTGTCATCAACTTTGACGGCAGCCTCGTCTTTTGCCAAGGGCCATTGGATGTTGTTGTCTACACAAGCATAGATAGCAACGACATTTGGCCCTTGGCGAAGGCAGTTGATCGTGAGGTCACCACAAGCGAGCTCAATGCTACATTCCTTATCGATGAGGTGGAGGATGGCGCCAGGGACCTTGATGAGGACCTCTTCAGCGGCAAGCGGTGGCGCAGAAGGAATGTTTTCGTTTTGGAAAAGGTTCTCAACAAGGTCACCAACTTCGTCAACTGCGGGGTAGAGAGAGGAGGATGGGTTGAAAGAGGATGTTTCTAGGTTTGAAATTATTACCTTTGGGTATAAAGAGTTTTTCTCATTAGGGTTTTCAGATGCCATTGATGAATCGAGTTTCTAACTTTTGAGGTTGTCACCGTTCTGTGGATTTGGAGTTTCAATGAGCATCGTAAAGAAAACAGACAAACAAAGAAATGACATGTGGTGTTTAGGAGAAATGACATATTAACTACCGTAGAAATTTCTCGCATGGATATCGGTACAAAATTAGTTTTGCGTTGTTTTTGGGATTTGTGCATGTGATGTCAAAGTTTTTTAAAGTAGTTATTGATAATATTTGTAATGAAAAAAATTAGAATTGGACTTTTTTTAATGGTAAATTAGCAAGTTACTTATGTTTTTTTTGCACAGATTACAGTTTTTATGCATGTTTTTAAACAATTTATGTATAATAATTTGATTAAAAATTAATATTATATATATATATATATGCGTGTGTGTATTTTCTATTTGAATTTGTCAATGTAATAAGAACTCAATGTTAGGTGCACTCTTTTTTAGAAAATAAAAAATATAGAACAACAAATGAAAAGTTATTACTATCATAATTTGAGATACAATGTATATTGCTACTTACACTATTTCAATAAAATATTATTATGTTCAACTAAAGTTTCAATGATATTTGTGTTGATGCCTTTATAGTTATGACAATTGGAAAAAAGAATCTAGAATATAGTCATATCTTGTATAACAAATGTAGTAAATCTAGTTTGAAGTGTAATCATTTGGTAAAAATTTCAAACTTAAATAATTATGTTATTGTTATAAAACTCATGCATGTTGTAAGGAGATAAGGTTTTACTCATATGGAATAAAACATTTAGTAAAAACAAAATTTTAATAGTATAAATTTTTTACCTAACATTTATTGTCGGAAAAGAAAGTTAAATTAGCAAAATATATTGAATATTTAAGAGCTGAGTTTCTTCCTATACATATATGTCAAACATTTCTTTCTCCAATTATAATATACAAACATTGATATTTGATCATACAAAGTTTTAGAACTTAAGAAATTCAAATCATAAGTTAACATTCAGATATAATTATTAACAAATTTCTTGAAATATAAATTGTTTAATCAAGCACTATCAATGATATATACCTTCTGAGGGTATGAATCATACAACAATCCAACTCTAAGAACAAGGCATGAGAGAGAGCAAACAAATTTGAAGGTGATATCAAGTTCTTACTAAAAGGTTTTTTCTATGCACTATTAAAGCTATGTCAATTTTGAAAAGTTTCCACTATTCAATATATAGTGAATTTCCTTTTATATAATTATTTTTGTACAAATTTTATTTTTATACCACCATTTAACACCCTATTGCTTAATGCAATTGTTTAAGCAACATTTTCTACAAGAACCATAAGGAAAAAAATGAAAAAAAAAATAAAGACTGAACAAAATTGGATATGTGTTCATAAAGTCTACTAAAGCTAGGTAATGTTAAAGGCTAATCATAAAGTTAGTCAATGCTAAAGGGGTTGTTCTTGTAAAATCCTATTTTCAAAAATAAAAATAAAATAAAATATTTTAATAATATTTATATTATAGGCTTAATTAATTTATTAATAAAACTTAATATAAGTGATAGATTTTTTTATTAAATAAAATAAAGATAGACTATGTGTTTGTGAAAAACTTTTGGGTTAGGACTCTTAAACTCAACTTGTAATCTCATTAATAATAGAAAGAATGAAGGGTTAGGTCATACATGTCAATTTTAAACCCTAAGAGTGTCTATAGAAGAAAAACCTATAAGAGAAATTCAAGGAATGCATGGAGTAGCCACAAAACAACAAAGATTGTATTTATTGCCTGGTAGGAGTGAAATTGTCTCACCTTGTGGGTGCATATGAGAGGTATGGATAGTGAGGCAACTCCTATGTCTCCTTAGAGTTTACAATTATTTGTGTTTAATGGAGTTGATGTGATACTAATTGAATTACTATTGGATGAGTGTATATTACCATGAATTTTTGTGATTTGTAATGGTGTCATCTTGCATGATGGAAGAGGAGGGTTAGGGTTGAATGCATGATTTGGGAGTTTTGTGTAATTGGATTTATTTTTAATTTATTGGTGCATAATGTTTGAATTAGAGGTGATTAATTCAAGTGTTGAGTAATTTAGAATAACCCTTTGAGTGGTTTGTCTTGGGATGCAAAAATAGAGAAAAAATGAGTGAGAATTGCATATGAAGCAGTCTAGTTCGGTGCAATTTCACGACTTTGGATCGATAATCACAATTGTACTTAAGGGAAACATGCTCAGGAGGCACCACTATTGTGCTTTGGGTAAGCACGCCCATGCTGGGTTGGACCAAGAATGTGATTAAGGGGATGCATACTTGTGTTGGGTTTTTTGAGGAAGATGCCCATTCTTAGAGTGAAGCATGGTTATGCTTCTAGGGAGCATGCTCGTATTGCTCCCATGGTTGACTATAATCTAATTTAATTTAATTAAACAAGAGGTTTGTAAAGGGAGGAAGTTTTGTGACAGTGAGACTAGTAAGAGATGATATGAAAATTAATTACTAATTCGTAGAAGACTTATAATTGAATCTTGTGCATGTAGTAAAGTAATAGCTAATGAAGAGATGAGAAATTATGAGATGACATTGGGTTGAGGCGTGTGCAGTGTGATAATTAATAATGAAGGGAAATGATAGATGGAAATGGGTGAATATAATAACCATAATTGAGAAAAAGATAAGAAGAGGTAGAATGTGACCATAATTGAGTAATTATAGAGGAGGAGTAAGAATAATGACTTAGTGAGTAATAAGAGTAAAGAGTTGTAAATAAGAATGATAAATGCGATGTTTATGTACGACATGAGAAATTTATGTATCAAATGGTCCATGTGCATAATGTGTGTGATGAGGTGTCATAAGATAATATTATGAGATGTATGGATAAGAGGTGTTGTTGTTTGACTTGAGAAACCTACAAAGTTTGAGACGTTTGACAGATTATGAAAGGATGTTGATATCAAGAAGTCCAAGCAAAGGCTTGATAGTGAGAAAATCCAAGCAGAGCGAGAAGTTCAAACACATAGGTCTGGTAGTGTGATGGAGATGAGATGGTGTTATGAATTCACATTTATTTGTGTTTGATGTGATGTGTTCGAAGTTCATGCATAAACATATAATTTTTTTTGAAGAGGATGTGTTTCTATGCATGAAGGTCTCTATGATCTTCTACCTTAGCCTAAGAGGTGTTATGGTGGAAAAAGCTAATGTTAGATGGTAGGCGACCATACGCAATTGTGATAGTCGAATTGGGTCCTTATAGAATTTCTTATAGTGTGAATGGACCTTGTTGAGACATGTGCTCATTGTGTGGTAGCCTTGTGTTTTGTTCATGTGCTCCTAAGCTACTTGGACTTTGAACACCTTATGCAATTTCGATATTAGTACTACATGCATATAAAATTAAGAACATAAGTCTGCACAAATATTTGAGAAGTGAAAACATGTGATTGAGATTGTTGTGTTAATGAATTATTTGAGGATGAACTATAAATGTGTTGAATTTACATGGGATGTTGTTATGTGATATTTTAGGGTGTTACCCATATTTCTTGTATGTGCCTAAACATGTGTGAGATATATTCTCATTCCTTTTGTTGTTTCCTTGTTTGGGTTGAACATTAAATGCAAGAGTTTATCAGGTAGATGAGTTCGAGCCTAAGGGAGACAAAGCTTAAGCTTCGATTTTCTAGTTTGTTAAGTTTCTCTAAGTAGTTTACATTAGGGCTTGAGGACTTAGAGTTTGTGTTTTCTTTATGTTTCACTTTAAGAGTTTTGGTTATGATTTTAGAGTTTTGATTATGATTTTAGAGTTTCTTTGTTAAGTTTATTTTCCTTAAATTATTTTGGGAACTTGTAAAGGTGATTCTGCTTAGTTATTTTTTTTAGAACTCGCTTCGATTAATAAAATTATGTTGTTTTTTTTCATAAGTGACGTGAATCCTTTTATCTTGCATGCAAATTTTTTTTAAACATAATTTGTTAGTATATTATTATATTAGAATGATTTGGGATAGGTGTCATAACAAGTACTTGTAGCGTTCTGTATATTTTGTCATCTCTAATAAAAAAACACTAATGTACATGAAAAAAGATCTCTTACAAAAATATAATAGGAATAGTATTTAAAAGTACTTTTTCTTTTTGCTACAAAAAATTAAGTCAATTATTCTAGTAAAATTATTTCATTTTTCTTATACTCTACTAGTATAGGACAAGACACTTTGTGCTTCTGTTAATAAAAGAAAATAAAACAATAGTTAATTTTGATGGAATGTGTTGGTCCTTGTTTACTAGAATCTAGAAAGGAAGTTGAATAAATTCTATCCTAAGATGACTCTAATTTTGAAATTTCTTGATTAAAACCTACCAAAATATTTAAAATTCAACCTTTACTCAATTTGATTTAACAAATTATAGTAGATTACAAAATATAATACCAAAATATCATAATTTCAATATAAACACAGCAAATCATTCACTTGCAATCAAGACTAATTTTATATTACCTTATTCTTAATCAATTTCAATTACAAGAATAATATTCAGAGTACACGAGGTAATTGAAACAACATATCTCACAAATATTTGATTCTATAAACAGATAATATCAAGATTATTAAAAAGATATAGGGTAAGAAGATTAAGAACACATAAATTTATACTAGTTCAGCCATCCACTTGGCCTACATCCAGTTTTATCTGATTTGGCACCCCACTAAATAAAAGATCATTCACTATAATATTGTTTACAAACACCATGCACACACAATATTAAAAGAATGCAAACATACATCAATCTTGACACTACAAGACTGAAAACACACATAAATTTTTGTACCCCCATAGAAATTACTTGAGAAATCCCACTCAAGATTTCAAGATCTCTTATTGAGACACCTTATCTCAAGAGATACACCATTCAAAACAAAAATTACAGGTTAAAGATCATAAAGATATCACCTCATTTGTGTAGATATTGATCTTTCACAATTGAATTCACTTCTTGAATTTCTTCTTTCAAAAACACATGTTCAATCTTTGCACTTCTTAGTATTTCAGAAAAATTAT